GTGTGTGGAAAAAGGTGGCAAAGGAAGAAGAATCAGTCTAAGGACATTTGTGAGTTCGTTCCCCACTGTGTCACCTAAACAATTCTGTTGGGAAAAAAAACTACTAGTAAACAATTCTGAAAATTAACGCCTACCAAAATATCATAGTTTATATATTTCTTTTCTCTGTGATATTCTTATTAATAATACTATCTATTTCTCTCTTTTTTTTATATTTCTTCCCTCTTTGTTTGTTTGAATTGTTTTCTTTAATTTTTTTTAAAATTAGAATAAGAGTCCAATCTTATTTACACTGATTTCACCTTATTTAAATTGGTACTTTGGGTAAATTGATTTTAAAAGATCAAAAATGTTTCATTAAAATATTTTGGCTATTATATAAGATGGCTAAAGCTAATAAATAACTATTGGTTTAAAATAATATATTTTTATTTTATTTTTATAAAATAAATTGTTAATTTCAAGAATTGGAAGAAAATTTCTTAACTCAAACTACATAGACAAGAAATATATAAAAAATTCATGTTTAAAATATTTTGATTCGATTTTTCTTTTTTTGAGCAGGATAGATGGGTGATCGAATTTTAAAAGATTTAGGTTTAAATTTTATATTCGTTTTTAATAAAAAATATTTTAATTTTAAAATATAATTTTTTGACGAGTATACGAATTAATCGAACCTCAAATAAAGTACGAGACATGGTCTCGGAGACAGAGAGAAAAAGAGTGGTGGGTGGGTAAATATTAGTAGATCTCATCTTTATATGTCAACATACTTGACTTTTCCCCTACAATGATTAAATATTTATTCAAGTTTAAACTTCAAGCCAAATACTACTTTTTATTCATTTTTCTTTGACAAACAAAATATTTTACCTTATTTTCATGTTTAGTTATTGTAGGAGTTTTATTTGTAGAAATAGTGCCATTTAAATTAGTAATTTAATCTGTAGGTCAAACCAAATTGTAATATAAAATATTTGATAAATATCACATGCATTAATTTAATATATCCAAAATAAGGAAAGTGGGAAGAAACTAACCAAATCCATGGCGGCTTTCGGACGTCACAATCAATTTATCATATGAGAATGTCACATACTATGATTATTCAAAGTTCATAGATTTGTCACGAGCCTTGTTTTTTTGTTTCTTTTTTGTTTTCCTTTGTTCCATGATTTTTTATTTTTTTTTATTTTAATGGTAATATCCCCATCACATTGTACCCATATCGACTATTTTATTTGGTATCTAAAGTTCCACCTTAAGAAGCGGGGGTCACGGTGACTGGATTTACATGGACCAGGTTGGTTCGGATTTTATCAAAATCAAGCCAAATCAATTATATCAGTTTGGATTCGTTTGATTTTGTCGGATTTTTCGGGTTTTTTTGTTACATGAATATTATTTCGATTTTGCATTATTAAAGTTATAGATAAAATTTTGATAAGTGAATATATATTTACTAAAACTAAAAAAAATTAATTAACATATGATCTATTAAAGTAATCTTTGGGAGAATTTTTTTTAGTAACACATAATAGTTTATTTTCTTAGTCGTCTGCCAATAACTTTTGGTTGGTGTATGCTTTCAGGGTTGACCAAATTTAATAATTAAACGTAAAAATCAATATGATACCTAAATAATGATATGTTCTATGTAATTTTTGATTATCGAAATACCACTTCAAATTCGAAAAACATATAATAAATCTTGACATATGAATATGAAAGAACAAAGAGATGATTGATGCATTTCAATAACACATAATAAGAAAGTGATATAATCTATTATTTAAAGTAAATAAAAATGAATGCACTTTATATTTCTATTAAATATTATATCCCATGAGAGGATCTCAAATATTTCTAGGCAGCTTTTAAATAAAATTCTATATAAAGTTTTAAAATTATATATAAAAAAGTATATATTTATATATCGATTTGGTTCGAAATTTTTTACTCAATACCAAACCAAGTCAAATCATTTTAGTTGAATTTTTTAATCGGTTTGGTTTAACTTTTCGATTTAGTGCAATTTTCCGGTTTGACTTGTACACCCAAATGATAATTATCGAATCTTCTACTTGTACATAGATAATTATATGGATAGATTTATCAACGTAGATCGTTACAAAATATATTTTATAACTACAACCTACAAATATTCGATAATTATGTCCATCAAAACATTAATTATTTAGTTTACTCTTTTTCCATGTTTGTTTATATAAGAACAACATTTTGTGCAAGTGTATACTCTTTTTATTGGGGTAGGATGGATGAAGCGGAGGCTAGCATCTGGAGTCTTGTGTGACAAGAAAGTGCCAACGATACTTCAAAGTAAGTTCTATAAAGCTATAGAGCGGTGGTTAGACCGGTCATGATGTATAGGGCTGAGTGTTGGCCTGTTAAGAACTCACATATCCAAAAGATGAAAGTAGCAGAAATGAGGATGTTGAGGTGGATGTGCGGGCACACTAGGATGGAGAAGATTAGGAATGATGATATTCAAGAGAAGGTGTGCATGGCTCCCATTGATGACAAGATGGGGGAAGCGAGGCTCAGATGGTTCGGACATGTGCAGAGGAGAAGCCCAGATGCTCCAGTAAGAAGGTGTGAGCGGCTGGTTGTGGAAGACACGAAAAGAGGTAGAGGGCAGCCTAAAAAGTATTGGGGAGAGCTGATCAGGCAAGATATGGTGAGGCTTCAGATTTCCGAGGACATGACACTTGATAGGAAGTTGTGGAGGTCGAGTATTACAGTTGTAGGCTAGGAGGTAGTTGAGTCTTGCGTTACTTTGTACCTTTATGAGCCTGGTACGGTAGGGTTTTGTCTAAGATAGCTAGGGGCAATAGTGTGTCTTACTATTTTCTATTTTCGACGCAGGATCCATTTACTAGCCATCATTTTTGCTTTGCACTTTTCTGCATTTTATGTTCCTATGTTTCCTATGATCTCCGTGGTGAAGCTAATATTCTCTCCTTTTGTCTTTTTATTATCTTGAGCCGAGGGTATTTCGGAAACAGCATCTCTATCCCTTCGGGGTAGGGGTAAGGTCTGCGTTCCCTCCCCAGACCCCACTTGTGGAATTTTACTCGGTTGTTGTTGTTATTGTTGTTATTGTACACTCTTTTTATTAACAACTTGTCCTTTGCTAGCAACTACCATGGACCAAGTGGAATCTTGTCCGTTTTGTAGTTTATCAGAATATTACTTGTTTAGACGAAAAAAATTAAGCAAACCATTTTCCCCCTATTTTCACATAGTTTAAAAAAAAAGGCTATTACAAAACAATATTGTAAGACCTAAAGTACAAATTATTATTTAATTAGTTCAAACATATAATATAATATTTTTTTAGTACTCTTTTGAATGCTAAGATTGATATAATTATCCTCATAACTGTAAACCGAATAAAATAATAAACTATGATTAAAACAATCATACGTTATAGCAAGGAACGTGTCAAAGGGGTAACTAGTTTTGTTTTTTCCCCTTTTTATATTATATCAAGTGGACAACCAATTTGCAAATATAAATATTTATATGATTAATATCAACGTTAGCAAGAGATATCAACTGATAATCAATTGTTTTTCATCTAGTCAATTTGTTATTATGTTTAGTAAATTATAAATGTGTTAGCATTTATCAATATATTTTTTAATTTTTCAAACAGTGAAAAATAGAAAAATGCTAAAACTGGGACTCATAGTGATTTAGTGGCATTTGATTTATCATACAATCTTTTATAGCATTTATTTCACAAAATTGTGAGTAGAGAACAAGGGAAAAACTTAATGGTGTTTATATTAAACTGCATTATTCTACCATAATTAAGTAATAAATTGGAGCAAAAATGTTATTTCTCTAATGCTAGTGAAACTAACTACCATAATTAACTAATAAGTTGAAACAAAATATTATTTTTCTAATGTTAGTGAAACTTCATTATTTTATAATATTATATCGAAAACGGACTTAAATTGAGCTACATGACTATAAAAATTTGCATAGCCGACCCCAACTTAATTATGACTGAAGCCAAACAGCAATTACCTTAAAAGGAAAGCCTTAGGGGTCGTTTGGTACGCGAGCTAAATTATTCCGGAATATTATAATCCCTAGACTAATATGTCTCACTTGAAAGATGGGATAATATAATCCCAAGTTTGATGGGATAAGATGGGATAAGGTGGGATATCCTGTATTAAGGCTGGAATTAAATTTATACCATGTTTAATTGACGGTATAAATTTATCTAGGAATAAAATTATACCATCAACCAAACATGTTATAAATTTAATCTCGCATCTTATCCCACTTTATCCCGCGTACGAAACGACCCCTAGAGTTGCAATGAGGAAAAGTTGGATGTAAGCAAATACTAGCCATTGCTTTAATAATCAGAGTGTATTATTAGTTGAAACTTCAAGCAACAAGTTAATCATGGCAAGCAAAGAATGGTATCAATCACATCAAATAATATTTCATCCAACTTTCTTTGGAAAATTATGCTATATTTGTTTGATTGGCAAAAAGAACCTAGCTAGTATATGCCCCAAAACTTTTAGATTATTCTTATGGTTGGAGTTTAACATTAATGTTTTGAAAGTGAACTTCATGCCCCACCCCCACCTCTAAACATTACTAGATGAAACATGTAGTTATGACATGTTTGACCAAGCTTCTAAAATCATTTTATTTTTAAAAAGTATTTTCTAAAAAAATATTTTTGGTGAAAAATAATTTGTATTTGACTAATCATTTTGAAATTTTTTTGAGCAACAATTAGTGTTTGGCCGAACTTTTAGAAAGTACTTCTAAGTATATTTTCTCACTACTTTTCAACATAGTACTTTCGACGAAAAGCTACTTTTTCTACTCAAAAGCATTTTTTTTCCTTTTAAAAACTTCGGCAAAACACTTTTAACTTTGGAAAAAGCACTTTTGGCAACAAAAAAAAACAATTTTGGCTTGGAAACAAGCTAGTTATGTGCACTACGTAGTAATTCGTGCATTATTATTCACCGTATAATAGCCCTAGCAAATTTACAGCTCTTTCCAGGAACAATTGAGGAAACCTTGATAAATAATGCAACAACAAAAAACCCAATATAGTCCCACAAGTGGGGTGTGGGAAGGATAGATAGTACGCAAACCTTACCCCTACGGTATCAGTAGAGAGGCTGTTTTCAATAGACCAACACGTAAAATATTTTGGCTGTCCCCATGATTTTCGATCACTAATAGGTGGTGTCAAATGCTGGGAGGCTGCTGTTTTTGCTGCTTCATCTACAATATTTGGTCTGCGAATTGGTTCATCCAGTTCTATCTCACTGTAATTCGTCATGACAGGACTTTAAACTTGCATATACGACTTCAAAGGCAACGAACAGAAATGAAGATGACACAACCATGATCATTTCCCTTCAGATTAACTAATCAGCAAACTCAAATGGTTAACTTTTCTTTGCATGATCCAATGAAGGAATACATTTTGTTTGTCGCGAACAAAGTTTAACTTGGATAGCCACCTTTTGGATTGGAACTGCAGTAGATCGTTGACTTGATAATATGCCCAAGCAGCTCAAGGTGTTGGTATGATGGCAACAATTATCTTAACTGCAGCTCATTCGCTGTTTCATGTCCCGATTTCTTTCTCAAGGATCCTGTCGAATGAAAAGAAAATATTGACATCCTATTTGAATTAGAAGTGCATTTTAACAGGTGCTACAAACTAAACTTACCTAGTCGTTGTTTTATTACAGCAGCATTTTCAGTCCCCGCACTATGTTGAGCAAAGAAGAGTATATCCTCATACATATTACTTGCTGGTTGAATCCCTCCATCCTCCATCCACTCCAACACCTGCATCAGAAGTTCACCAAATTGGTTTTAATTAGCACTCGCTGAGTGCGGAAAACAGAAGTATTTACAGAGTACATAGGCTTCCCTGTTTAACTGTGTAGGGAATCAACCAATTTCTCTTCCCTGTACCAGAAGTAGAGTCTGTCCTTTAAAAGAATATTATTCTATATCACTGTATTATTAGTGGTGCTGACAGAAGCTAAGCAAGTAATACACACTAATAGGCTTCTGAGAAGTGCATTTGTGTCCAGCACTCTTTTTCCAGAAATTTGTTACCTCAGAGAGAGAGAGATAGAAGGGGGCTATTCCCTGATCTGGCCTGGTTGACCCAATCATGATATTGAAGGAGGGGACCTTTTCTGGAAAAAAAATAAATCTTGCAACTACGAAAACCACAACACAAGCACCCCTTTTCCATTCATTCTATCTAGGGGAAAAAATGCAGCATAGACCACGACCCCCCACCCCCTCCCAATTTTTTCATTTCTTCATCGATATGTTGCCAGGTTAAAGANGGGGGGGGGGGGGGGGGGCTAACATATTGGGTATTCTGGACAACTCACAATGTAGAATCATCAAAATTAGCAGAATATACAAAGAAGATTGGTCCTACAGCATTTCAAGATTTAGAGCCACTATGAATCATCCCGGAAAAATAAAAGAACAAAGAAAGATCTAAGGCCACTGCAAATGGATCATTCTTCTTAACAGATATAGGAAAATATTAACCAGAAGTTCTAAAGGTACTACCTCAACATATTTCCTCCAATTTCCAGCAGCCAAAAGATTTTTCAGCAGAACTGAATAGGTTGCTAAGTTAACTTCTGCGCCTGATGTGACTACCTTATAGAAAAACTGCATAATGAAATAAGGGGAAGAAATGTGTCAGATATATGCAAAAAAAAGTAATCTTACTGAAGAAAGGATAAGGCTGGACATTACTACGTCGAATCGACATTCAAACTAAAGATAAAGTTACTGAGAATTTTACACTTACTTTTATCATGGTTTCAATCTTCCCAGATTTGCCAATACTATGCAGAAGCTGGTTTAGAGTTCCAACAGACACATACGAGAGTGAAGCCTCCATTATTGTAATAATTTCTGTAATCATCCTCCAATCTCGTAACCTTCAAGAAAAGTGTAAGCTTCATCATCATTGAGTAATGCCACACAAATATATAGCCCTAATAATTGCAATACCATGTATGGACAACAATTACAAGTATAGACTACAAATGAAATAGAACAATGACAGGCTGAACAGAAAAGAGCTTTATGCGGTCTCTCTGTAATGGACTGTACTAGTAATTAAAAATCTCTTGTTTTCACTTTATTTCATAGACAATATGCCATGTTTCCAATTTACATGATTTTAAGTGCAATGCTTGATCAATTATTTGATAATTACCAACGCAAGCACTTAATATAGCCAAAAAATAGAGCAACTTCTTCCATGAATCCTAGGAAATACTACTACTATACAGATGCACAAATTCCAAACATTAACTTTCTGTAAATATCCAAACCCCTCTGCATATAAATGTATAAATAAGAACTTACATGCTGCTGGCGGAGACCAATTCAAATAAAACAGCCTCGGTGAAAGGGATATTTCTCTCTCGCATAAAATCCGCCACAAGCAAAACTTTGTCAGGTTGGCATCCTCTATTAAAAGACCTCATGAGAGCTGAACAAGCAATAGCATCTGGGTGAACATCATTCAATTCCATATCTTGAAATACTGCAAAAGCTTTCTCCCAGTTCTCTGCAAGATAAAATTGTTCCGAGTTATACGGGTCAATTGCGTGCAGCCAACATATACCTATGGAATGGAAGGTACAGGACAATCTACCTCCAACACTATATGCATTTAGCATTGTTGTATAGGCAATGACATCAGGATGAAAGCCTTCCATTTTCATCATCGAAAACATAGATTCTGCCTTGTCAAATTGACCCTGAGAAGGAGGTGGGGAGCCTGGTCAGTTTTGTCTTATACTTGTTGAAGACATAATTAAGTAAATAAAAGTGTGTTCTCTCTAACTAGATTAAGCTTTTAGATGAGATGGTCCAACACTTCAACATGGTATCAGAGCAGGCAAAGGTCCTGCGTTCGAGTCTCACCGCCATCCAATATCAAAAAGAATTTCCACATGCTTGGCTCATCAAAAAGAATCAAGCCCGCATGTGAAGGGGCGCGTTGAAGGCATAATTAAGCAAATAAATGTATGTTCTCTCTAACTACCTTAAGCTTTTAGGTGAGATGGTCCAACACTTCAGCAATACTCAAGAGGAAAAGTTGTGTTGAATTACTTGCCTGCTTAGTGTAAGCGCATATCGCAGAGGAACACACCTCCTTTGTCAAAGGAATCTTCAGATCTATCATCTCATCAAGAAATTCAAGTGCATCCGAATAATTTGACATTCTACAACAACCACTTATCAACACATTATACGTCACAGGATCAGGCATAACTTTATTTTTCCTCATTGACCTGTATAGGGCCAACGCTTTTTCATATTCACCAACATTCAGATAACTCCCAAGAGCGGAGTTATAGGCGACCGTATTCAACTCAATTCCCCGCATTTTCGCAGCCGTTAGGATGGAATCAATGTTCACTTTCTGACTACAGCGACCACTTGCAGCCAATAAGGTAGAAATAGTAACAACATTGGGCTGTAAGCCATCATGTTCCATTTCACGCAGCACTTGGACAGCCTTGTCCAGAAGACCATTAGATCCATAAGCATCAATTAGTACATTATAACTAACCAAATTTGGTTTCAAATTGTTTCTTTTCATCCTTTCAAATGTTTCCATGGCCCTTTCAGGCTGTTCTGATCTCCCATAGGCATTGAGTAAAGACGTATAAGACACAACATCGGGGCGGATGCCATTAGTTTTCATCTCATCAACAATTGACAAAGCTTCCTGAGCCATCCCATGTGAAGCATAAGCACCTACTAAGGTATTATATGAAACGATATTAGGTTTCAGACCTTCTGCAATCATTGTGTTAAAAGCAGCCTCGCAGTTTTTAATCTGGCCAGAAACAGAATACATGTGCATGATAGTTGTAAATGTGACTATGTCAGGATTACATTCAGCTCGTTTCCCTCTCATTGAGTTAAATATCTCAACAGCTTTCTCATATTCCCCAAGCTTTACAAGACAGTGTATCACAATATTAAGGGTCGTAGTGTCAGGACGGACTTTAGTTCCCTTCATAAGTTCAAAATAGGAAAGGGCTTTTGCATACTGTTCCCCATTTTTATAGGCAGATAAGACAATATTATGCGTCACCAGGTCAGGTCCAACTCCGTTTTCAGTCATTTCTTTGCAAACTTTAAGAGCCTCTCTCCAATTTCCACTAGATCCACATGCATTGATCAAGTTGTTGTAAGTTGAACGATTTGGTGGAATCTGCACCAATACCAGAAGCAAATTCTTCAGTTAAAAATCTCACACAAAAACATGAGCAAATAATGACAAAAAGATCTAAAAGTACAAAAAACGAAAGTAAATGCAAAATAATTGAACACTCACTGGTCAGTGCTAAAATCAATTTGGTACATATATGGGGTTAAGGCCCTAGAAAGCTAGATGTACATCATAATTGAGCAAGCAGCAGACCGAGACATATGTACATTTTCAATAACTCGGAGGGAAATTGAGTATACATTATGGCTTAGATGGTGAAAGCTAGCTTAATGGAACCGAGACATATGTACATTTCTCGTTTTCTTTGCGATAAAGAACAAGCTACATCCATTATTAGATGTTCCCAGAGATGCTCCCAGACACAACTCCCGAGGCATCTTTGTACCATGAGCCTTAGGATTCTACCACCACCCACAGATAGCCACCACCATCGCGACCAAAACCCAGCAAAACCTCCGACCAAGGGCCACCCACGCGCCCTCACGCGCATCCCTCTTCCCGCGGCCTCTACGCCACGCGCCGGCGCGTGAGGAACATTCCGGCCAGATCTCCACCAGCAGCCTTCAGACAGCCTGTTCAAGAGGCTATTCCGAGCCTACCCATCAAACTTTCTCCAAAATCCGACGATTTTCACTATTTTCCGGTGACGGGGAGGTTTTCTCCGACCAGATTTCAAATTTTCTTCTTCAGTCAGCCTCAACGCGAGGTCTTCGGGATGACCGCTCTTAGAAATGATGGACTCTACAGAGAGAAACTCCTACTTCTCTTTAGAATCTAGAAAACTGGAAAAAATGTCTTTAATCAAAGCTGCCTCTTGGCCAACCCTAGAACTTGAGGGAAGATGTCATCGAAAGGTCGATGTAAGGCAGGAGCCACAATTCTCGCTGTCTGAGGAGCACACTCTCAGGCGCAAGGGTTTCTTGAAATCTTGTCTGATTGGATCTTTCTCCAAATGGGTTGGTTCCCCAGAGGCTGATAGGAATTGGGCAGCAGATGCATGGAATGTCAATGACGGGCTGAAAATAACGCAACTGGGGGATACGCAATATCTCTTTCGATTTCTCGACGAGTCTCAAGCTTCAGAAATTCTTGTTAGAGGAAACAGATGGTTTGATGGGAGCTTTTTACATCTAGACAGATAGGTGGAGCACGATGGGTGTCTCGACCATCATTTCACCGGCGAAACATTGGTGGTCAACATGGTGGGTCTCCCGGTGCATCTTTGGCGCCTTGACCTCTTCAAGAAGATTGGGGAAATCTGTGGGGGCTTTATTGATGTCACTTGCAGCCTACATGATCTATCGCGAGTGAGGATTGTGGTGAGGAAAAGGGGCAGAATCCATGTCTCCACTGTGGTGGAAGATGGCTACCTGAGTTATAAGGTGTGGTTAAGCCCTGAATTTCGCCCTATCTTTATGCCTGTGATAGTG